GGACGAATTAGGGGGTCGCCATGTTAAAAGATGTTTTTCCTTATGCTTAAAGTTAGTATTTGCAAGGAACAGGCGGTTATCTGAGCATAGCTGCAACAGACGGTCGCCATTATCTGTTCTTTGAGCCACGACACCATAAGATCCACCTAGGTGTCTTTCCCTATCGCTTAGTTTACCTACTTGAGCATTAAAGTCACCGGCCACTATTACTACATCCGAGCGCCTAGCTTTTCGGAGAAGGTCCGAAAGCTTTCTGTAAAACTCATCTTTTACATCATCTGAGCTGCAGTCAGTGGGAGAATAGGCAGAGGCAACGACGAGTGTCCCTATCTTTCCGGATTCTTACTGTTCCGTTCAGTCGGACAGCGCACAAACGACTGTCTACTGGGATCCACTCTAAGAGAGCTAGTTCTGCCCTAGGACTCAATGCTATACCTACGCCGGCGAGGCCACGGGAAGCAGAATCAGGGCTTCCAGATACACGAAGCGTAAATCGAGTCGGTTCTTTATTTTGGCATGGTGAGGTCAAATGAATGACGCTACTCGGATCCTGTATGCGCGTTTCGGAGACGCAGCACACATCGATGGCGCGAGATTCTAAAGTTTAGCTAAGGAAGCCTGTTGTCCTATTTGGCAAGTGTTCGGACGTTAAAAGCTCCTACGTGTAGTTTAGAGCGTGGTTTCAGGAGACCAGGAATAGCGTTCCGCGTACTCGAATCGTTTGCCCTAGCGGTGCGAGGTGATTAAAGGACGTGAGGAGGGTTAGTCGGGAAGATAAGAGAGGTATTAGGAGGTGTAGGAAGGATTTGAATGTGACCAACTTGGTCTCGTGTGCTGTTACGGGTATGAGGGCTGATGTCACTTCCCGGCTGCCCACACCGTGGAAGGGTATTTCTTGAGGAACCTGAAAAGGAAATTGGATTAGTGTTGGTCTCAGTGACCTGGGAGCGTGACCGCAGAGCCCAAGGGACAACTGCTTGAGGCCGGTCGCGCACGGCCTTTTCGTGGAAGGTTTTTGACGTGTTAGCTCCGTTCTTCAAAGGGCCTTACCGCCGGAGACGGAAATCCGTGAGGTAAGGTGAGGTGTGACATTTTTAGGGTCGACCTTTTCTAACCCCACCCCTCCTTGTGGGAAGGCAGCATCGCTGTCATGCTGGTTGTCCGAAGGAAACACCTTACTGCTGTCACACCTCTCTACAGTCAGCAGTACGACTTCGCCCTCAGACCTTGAGTTGCTGCTTTTAGTCTTACCGTTCTCCAATCGACCTGCCTGGCATGGTAGAACCTACAGGAACATATGTTCCAACCAATATAGCTCGGTTGGGTCATCACGATAGGCAAGCCCGACCACCGCGTCAAGGTAGCAGCCTTGGTCGGCCCACTACCAAGGGAGAGTGCAGGTTTAGCGTGCTGTAAGTCTTATGAGGGTACTTTGCGCTTAGAAGATGCAGAGCACACGATATACGCACGGATAGTGATTGTCAACTGATTAAGTGCGGATTGCATTGATTGGGTATCGTCGCACAGTAAGACAATATAATCTAAAATTCTTTCTCCAGGCAACAGATCCACACCGCCATTACTTACATCCATCAGAGCTGTTTCTAGAACGTGGTCCATAGCAATGTTGAGGAAGGATGGTGAGATTAAGCAACTCTGCCTAACCCCACTGCTTGAGTGGAACAGTGGAGAAAGGTGGTTGTATGCCCTTACTCTGCCTGAGGTGTTTGCATATAGGGCATTTAGGATGTTGATAAACTTCTCAGGCACACCCTTCTTCAATAGACAATCCCAGAGAACAGTCCTGTCCAACGAATCGAAGGCAGCTCTAATCTCAAGAAACATTATGATTGTTGGCCTGTGATAAGTATGACGGTGTTCTAACATTTGGCGGAGGGTGAAGATATGATCAATACATCCTCGACCAGAACGAAAACCAGCCTGCTCCTCGCGAGTCAATCTTTCTCGGCTTTTGAACAACCTACGAAGTGTGACGGAAGCCAATAGCTTGGACGCAATCGGAAGTAGACTTATCCCCCGATAGTTAATACAGGAAAGACGTGAACCCTTTTTAAAGATAGGGACAACTATCGACTCATTCCATGATGTTGGGACACTCTCTAGCTCCCAGACCTTTGTAAACAACGTTGCAGTTCCTTAACCAGAAAGTCACTATCATCTTTAAAATAGGGCAGGAGGTTAGTCATCTGAACCTGATGATTTGTAGCGCTCCAAGATTTGGGGTTCCTTGAGGACTCCCGCCTTGTTAGGTGGATTAGTCGTCACAGGGTATGGAGAGCAGGGCAGTTTGATCGATTTTGCCGCAGCAACAGATCAGCTGAACTGTCTCTCGAAAAACTCTGCTCATCGTCCAGGACGTCGGTGGATGCTAGTGATTGGCATCCCGTCATCTTCACAGATTGTTTCGCTCACACCAGACTTCTTGCTGCCAGTGGCTCGGATGAGTTGGAAGAGTTTCCGGTAGTTACCAGATGCGGCTGCTGCTCCCAACTAATTGTCACTCTCCGACCATCAGGCTTCTCGGTCCTTACGCAAGCTTTTCTCAGTTTCATTACGTAACATCCTTCGTTTGTGGTCAAACTCACGGTCACCCAGAATAGACCAGTAGACTTCGATGAGTTGTAAGGAGTCTGAAGAAACCCAGTGCTTATGAGCGGGACGTTTCGCGGACCCGCCACCAAATGCCCTGGTATGGCCAAGAGTGGGGAGAGTCCGCTCTCCCTCTCGAAATGCTCTCACATGGCCACGCTTATATAGCCTCTGCCAGTTAAGTCCTACTCACTGCCTTCTCAAGGCGGGGGTGTTTAGGAAAATGAGAGGGCGGAAAGCGAATGTCCGGCGCTTCAACCGGATCACAAACCAATGATGCACATGGGCTCCAGTATCCTGCGGGAACGAATGGCGTATGAACAAATTTTTGGTCGTCGGCTACCATGGTACTGCATCTCCTCACGATGCTACAGGGCCTTGTGGGTCAGACCTATAAGTCAAAGGGTCGGGGTGTGGCCCCCTAAGAAAACCACCTGCTTCGGTTTGGGCACCCGGGCAGTATCACAGCCCTCACACATATCGAATGAGATTTGTGTGGCACATATGTATTTGGTGCCTCTTTGTACGATTATTTATGTGTTGAAATAAATAAATTCGCTGACCCACAAGTGACATTACTCGTCATTTTCATACTTTTCGGTGGAATGGTAGCCAGCCTAGAAGCTAGCTCGATTCGATACTTACTAGCAACAGAAGTTGCAACCAACTTGCTGACATCAATCCGTTGATGGCGGTCACTTCGTTGTCCACTGAAAAGTAGGGTGAGATTGGCGCAGACCAGAGCATGATCAGAGTTCAAATAGATACTCCAAAAGGAGCGGCAGTTTTGTACACAACCACGCCAGGTGGCACATCGGCGATGACTGTGTCACAAGTTAGTGCTAGCCAGAAACAGGTTGTGGTCTGTGCACAGTTGCAGTAGACGGTCCCCGTCATCTGTCCTGCGACCAACAATTCCCCATCGGCCACCTAAACGACTCTCTTCTGTGCCTAGACGCCCGACCTGAGCATTCAAGTCTCTGACTAGTACTACAATATCTGTCGAACGCACTTTCTGGAGAAGAACAGTTAACTGGTAGTGGAATTCACCCTTGATTGCATCCAGGCTGCAATCTGTCGGAGCGTAGGCGGAGCTGACGAAAAGACATCGTTTCTCACACCAATTTCTTCGCACTTTAATGAAACTTTGTGGTGTAACAGCACATGACCAACTGTTAATGGGGGTCCAATTGATTAGTGCTGCCTCAGCGACACCAACACCAGCAAGACCAGACGAAAATGCCACAGGGTCCCCGGGCAAACATATGAGAAATACGCTTTTCGAAACGACAGATGGAGAATGGGTTTGCGGTACTTCACTAGAGTATTGAATACGGGTCTTGGATAGACAACAAACATCGATATTAAGACTTTCCAAAGACGTAGCCAGCCCTATCTGTTGTCTGACCTGCATAAGTATGCGAACGTTGGAGGCAGTCCGTTTGAATGGTGCACGTTGTTTCGGAAAAACTGCTTCAGTATTCGTATTTGGTGGTAGCATACAATTTTCAACCAGGCAGTGACTCGAGAACGTTAGATAGAGCCGAATTTCCACCATAGGCAAGCTGCTGTATAAATCGAAAAATAAGAATACACAGAGTGGGAATAAAAGAGATTGAATAAATGACGTAGTAAATAATAATAATAACAATAATAGTAATTTGAATCATTTGATTGTTTATCGCAGCAAGAAGAGTATATTCCGTAAATATAGACTTCATCATAATTGTGTTTGGTCTGTGATACTGCCCGGGTGCCCAAACCGAAGCAGGTGGTTTTCTTAGGGGGCCACACCCCGAGCCTTTGACTTATAGGTCTGACCCACAAGGCCCTGTAGCATCGTGAGGAGATGCAGTACCATGGTAGCCGACGACCAAAAATTTGTTCATACGCCATTCGTTCCCGCAGGATACTGGAGCCCATGTGCATCATTGGTTTGTGATCCGGTTGGAGCGCCGGACATTCGCTTTCCGCCCTCTCATTTTCCTAAACACCCCCGCCTTGAGAAGGCAGTGAGTAGGACTTAACTGGCAGAGGCTATATAAGCGTGGCCATGTGAGAGCATTTCGAGAGGGAGAGCGGACTCTCCCCACTCTTGGCCATACCAGGACGTTTGGGGGCAATTGCCTTCACGTTACCCTTGAGTTCATTCTCCCTTTGTGTTCATTTAGGTTATTCAGTTCTCTTAAATCAAAAACTAGTATTATTTCCAATTCTTAGTTCGCTTCATATCGTATTGAAATAATATCTCTGGTTTTTTTTAAAGATCTTATTATTTTATTCTGTCATTACTTTTACCTCGGGAATAGATACGGGTTAGTTTCATCTCCAATGTTGTCCAAATAACATTTCTCTGATATATAAAACCCTAATTTTTTCCGATTACACAGTCACAATTCCCCCGTTGCATTACCAGTTCCAGCTGTAAATAATGAATTTTTCAAATGTACCGAAAGAACTCTCCCATCTGAACGTGTTTTTAAGATGTGCTTCGGATCACTCGGCGAAAAACCCCACTATCACATACTACTGTAAGTTTTTCAACTAGTCTCAACATATGATTCCTCAGGTCTCCTGCATGCATTTCAAAAAGGTTTAAGTATGACTCAAAAATCACCCCCTATCAAGGCATTTTTGACAACTCTCATGGATAAGTTAGAAGAATTAAAGAGAAATAATTCAAACTGTGAAGAAATTGCGAATGAAACTGTTGGGATTCCTTATGTTGAACAGTATGCCCTCAAGTTGTTTGATGCTGCTTACCAGAGGGATATAAACTCCGACTTCGGACCGTACGTATGATATAATCTTTTAACAGGCTTAAGTGCTACTGTAAAATTATTTCTTTCAGCTGCTACACTCTTAGACGTTGTTTCTGGAGTTGGAGAAGTAGGTGATGATGTGAGCTATCATTTACTCATCCGGTGATATACTTTTTTCTAATGATAGATCGAAAAGACCAGGAAGTATGCCAAATGGAAGGCCGTTTACATCAGCAAATGCTTGAAATCTGGCGAAGTTCCAGTAGGTGGTCCTATTGCTAACACCGAAGCTGCCTACACCCCAAGTACGTTATTCTTTTGTATGTATAATAATTGAATTGTTTGCTTGGGACTTTGTTGCATATGAGTAAATTTTTTGATTGCTTTTAAGGGAACCTTATTTGACACTCATTTACTTTTTGTGTCTAAACCGTACTAATTTCATTTTTGTAACGGAACTCATGCTCTGTAGTTGGTCCAGATACAAAAGCGCTACTCTTTAACCTATTTCAATAACATTATATGTGACGTGTACTAGTTGTGATTACAGCTTTCCAGTTTTCTAACTCAAACCAACTTGTTTTTTACTAAAGAATTCGTTTTCTCTGCCTGTTGAACAATTTTTTATATGTGACATTCTGATAGCATTCACTAGCTTTCTTGAGTATACATAAGAATAAATAATTTGTACTAGTAGTTTGTGTGTCTAGTTTCATATATTTAAATAACTGCGTATTAAAATTCATACCCATTTGAATTATGCAAGTGCATAAATATTCAAAGGTAATTTCCATCACTAACTGACGTATCTTAGAGAAATTCTCGAAACCTGGGAGCACTAAACAGTGGATTTCTTTCGGTTTAAAACTATTCAGCAATATGTTACCGTAATCCTACTCTGAATCTGTCCCTTAACTGTGAGGCTTCACGGCAAAATGGGGAACCATAATTCATTGGTTTATATTTTCATGTTCAATCAATTTGTACAATAGCTCAATCCTCATCTAGTGTCATCAGGGAGTCTCTGTTTTTTCATAATTCAGTTGACCTCATAGATCGCAGTCCCACATCACGTCTGAGAATTCATCTCGAAGCTACTTGCCAATCAACAAAAAGTTATGGTTTAGTGGACTAACATCAGTTCATGATAAGTTCCCTTCTTCACAAATCCTCTTGACGATACTTTCTTTATAATTCACATTGATGTGTAACATAAATACACCTCAAGTTTACTTAAACTAATTCAGTCATAGGGGTTGTGGAGATTATTAAGTTTTTGATTGAGATCATGAACCGATTGATGTTAGACCATGATCTCAATCAAAAACTTAATAATCTCCACAACCCCTATACTAGTAATCAACATGTGCTCACTAGTGACTAGCTTCGTGAGGGAATTCTCGGAGTTCTAGTGAGAAGCCGTGACCAGTGGAGCTAATCCTTGTCGGGTGGAGACAGGTATCTACCTCAGTACGACGGAAGTAGGTCGCGCAATTTCGTGGATTGGTTGATGTTAGAAACTATCACCATTGGATGCCGGCTCAGTGGTCTAGTTGGTTAAGCGTTGGCGCGCGAAACGGAAGGCCCTGGGTTCGAATCCCGCGAGCGGGATCGTGGATGCGCACTGCTAAGGAGTCCCACAATAGGACGAAACGGCCGTCCAGTGCTTTCAGGTTTTCAATCGTCGTGGTCTAACGTCAATCGATTTATGATATTTTAGTTTGGATATTTTTTCACTGATCATGTAGACTTTAAAATTCATCAACTTATGCTTTACGTACGTACGAAGTTCTACGTTGTTACTGACTGACTGACTATGCTTTAAGCAAAGTTAAATAATGCTGTTATCAATATATTTAACGAACAATAGGGTTTTATGTAATTGTTTCACTGCTTTGTAAATAATATTATTATCTTATTAAGTAAAATATGGATATCAATTTTTGAAGACTTCAACGTTTATATTTGTGCGATAACGTATGGAAAGTTGATTACCATATTCACTCTGATGATTCTACTTATCCGATTCATATACTTTCTCTATATCTATTCAACTTTTAAAACATTCCTCTGGAAATAGCTTTTCGCCTCACTGATCTTGGAAGGTTGGTGTCGCATACGGAATCGCTATTAAGTCGGAACCCCCAAATATATTAAGTAAATATTTTCTTAGTAAAATGTTTTCTAAACATCTTAGTTCTCGTTTCTCATCTATTAAATGTTACTTGATGGCTCAGATTTTTTCTATACTTACACCTAGTTCGAATATAAGAACTCATTATCTTCTTCGCTAAGCATATCACTAATGACACATTTTTTGTATTGAGACAGGAGTATAACCTCCTGCAATATGCTTTGTCCTAAAGGACATAATAAGGTTATAAGAGAGTAAAACATTACCCTCACGTGACGAGGCCAACTAGTGAAAAGTATTAATTTTAAGTAGTGAGATTATATTGGTTATACTACATGCATAACGAATGTAGGATAAAGTGATTTATTAGTATGTTTATTTATTTGAACACATAAATATTGGTACAAGAGAGCGCCAATATATATGTGCCACACAGTTTGCTTTATGTATCCATTACTTTCTAATTTGCTTGTGACTTTACAATTACTTAGGCCGCCCACCAGCATTCTCCATCCACCTCTGTCCTGGGCAATTCTTTCCATTTGCCATTCATCCTTCTCACTTCTTCCAATTCTCGACACAGTGTTTTCCTTTGTCTTCCTCTTTTCTGTTTCCCTTCAGGATTCCGAGTTGGCGCTTGCCTTGTGATGCAGTTTGATAATTTCCTCAATGTATGCCCTATCCACTTTCATCGTCTTTTTCTAATTTCTTAGTGAGATAATTACTGATTTTATTTGATGTTAATATTGCTAGAAGGCTGATTACCCTTATTTAAACTAGTCTAGACTACAATGCTGAAATAATCGCCCTGTCTTACTTCACTATTTTTATTATCAGGGTGTTCATTTCTTACTCATCTGCCGTACTGTTAAGACGATAGTGCAAGCCATTTGGAACTAATTAACTCTTCATTCGATTAAGTTCTTAGACAGGGATTATTAAACATTTATATATAGCCAATAAGAGAATTCATAACGGTACATACAAGAAGAAAGTTCTGAATATTTAATTAATTTTTTTATTGTTTAGTCATTTAGGAAAATTGTTAAAGATTGTTGTTGTAGTGACAAAATGTTTTCAGGTTTAGATAGCCTTTTTACCTGTGTGAAGCATTTGTGATGATCGCTGTAATCTCTAAGAGGCTTGTCAACCATAATCTTTTGGATATGAAGATAACATTACCCTGTTCTCAGAAAACGTTAACAAAATAATAATAATAATAATAATAATAATAATAGTGTTTCCAACTTGTACATATTGATCAATAATTAAACTTCAGGATAGCAGTGCAATTTCTAATACAATAAATGCTTACATTTTTGAATGTGTTTAGTGCAATGTGATATGATTAAAGGTAGGAGTAGAAGTAAACATATTACTCAAACTTTTTCGTTAGTTTGGATATATTGGCGTATAGCTAGAATTGTAAATAATTATGGAATTGTATTTGTTTTTATTCGGAAAATTAGGTGGTAATTTAACCTTTCACAAAATTCTACTTAGGCAGTACGACAGATAGTTTTATAACATTTATTTTAAGTTTTCATTTGAAGTAATTTTACTTGTGTAGATATTTCTGGACTAACAAATACAAACAATCTCTGCAACAATGAAACAAATCAACAACCTCATGAAGTCCCCACCACTTGCATACCTAAACAACCGCCTAGTCCTGATCCATCTGCATCTGATAATAATATTACAACAAGAAATTGGTTGAATGTAGAAAAAGATATCAAATGTGCATTGAGTGCATCAAATTATCAGGATAGAGAAACAACCGTGAAATACTTGAAGCAAGCGTTAAAATCACTTGGAGTTGATATCTAAATCTTAAAACGGTGTTTTAACTTTTAATTTACAGTGCAAAGATGTATTTTATAGTAATTGGAACATTGTCCCTTTTATGTGATAGTTTTTGAGAATTTATTACTGATATTTTAACAAAGTAAGCTACAAGTATTATGATGGTAAGAAAAACACGTATCGTTCTGATTTTATTTACGTCCAATTTTTAAAATGAAAATACATCGAATAAGTAATTCTATGGGTTGTGATTAGTTGAGGCATTTTATTTCTTTAGACTGTCCCATTGGTTCAGGGGATTTAACTTCATTACTTTTCTATATACTTAAGAGTAGTGAACTTTTTTGGTATCGGATAAAAAACCCAGTAAATAATTTGTTGAACAAATTCCGTATCTATCTGGTTCCTTATAATAGCTAGAGCTCCGGATTTAGTGTTTCTTATTATCTTTGAACTACTGCTTTATGGATTAAGTTGTAAATGAAAGAGGTAAAAAAATATTGTGCATATTTTACAGGCAATCTGTAGAAAATTATTTTTACCTGGTTTGTGATCAAGCCTCTTTCTAAGGTAGAAAGTTTTCTCCTACATTCATTTAAACAATATACATACGACAGAATTGTATCAGATGTTCTGTTATTATCATCTCACTAAAGCAACAAACTTTTTTCACTGTTGGTTATGTAAGTGGCCCTATAGGTAATACTTCAATAACGACAAAACATTTGAATGTAATCGGTTGCTAGTGTTATACTGTTCAGGTAGATCTTAACTTGTTTTATCAGCGAGTAGTCCCTGGTAACATTAATGGCTATATATTTTAGAGATACGCATGTAGATTCTGTGATTTTTTCTTAATTATTGAGAAAACAAAATAATTTAGTTAACCTAAAGCCAAAAGTTTACTAAGTATCTAGGGTCATGATTTGCGGATCACTGGTCAATAGTAACATGTTTCCGAAGGTCTAAGTTAATATCAAGGTAAACTGCCAAAGAAACTGAAAGGTGATTTTAAATATTAACTTAATAACATCCAGCTAAATGTGGTGAAATAAAACAAAAATGTACAGCGTGAACAACTATAGCTATTTTTACTAATCTACGTAGCAGCATATATTTGGTGTGGAAATGGTGGTGAGGATGCTTTACGTGTGATACTGATGGTCGATAAACAGACAAACCTGTTCACAAAGATAATGTTAGTATTTTGAATTATTCCTCTGCAATATTGACATGTTTTTGACTTTGCTGACGATCTGTCAAATATAATACAAAGAGTTATTGCCCACTCAGTTATATTCATTCTGTTTGTAGTAGTCTATGGTCGAACTCGTTTTTCGCCAACCTCAGCTTTTCAGGAGCTAGTCGGCGTGCTTTAGAGTATACAGGTGGTCCTGTAGTCGTGATGTGATGTGTAACGTTGCTGGTTACACACGGTAGTTTCGGTTGAGTTTGTTGTATCTCAGGATACTTGTCGAGTAGTGGCTGATAGAGTGGGTCTATCCTATGCTTAATTGTGACTGGGGATAATCTACAACCGGAAGAAGAAGTTACGCAAACGGATAAATTAGTGTTTCCGTCTACTAGCCTCCGTTTGCGCGTGTCAATGATCAGATTATGGTGTTGTAGAAGATCCATACCAATGATTGGCATAGATACATCTGCAACAACGAAGATCCAGTGGATGGGTTTGCGTAAACCCGCGTTAAGGTAAACGTACCTTTTGCCATACGTAGCGATAGGTTTTCTGTTTGCCGCCTGTAAGTTTAGAGCCGATTCGTTAAGCCGGTCGTTGGGAGAACGCTAACTTCTGCGCCAGTGTCGACGAGGTAGTGAACTCTGGTTGTCACATCTGTGACGTATAACAGACGGCTGTGTTTGCCGGCTACGGTTGCCGTTAACGCGTGCCGGCTTGGAAGTTTCCCGAATTGTTTTTCGAATCAGTCGGTTTCGTGTTGGGAAAATTGCAGGGTTTTCTGCAATTTCTGGAAAACTTTCCATACTGGTTATGATACCAGCACCAGTCGGGGTTATCTGTCTCTCGTGGTCTAGAGACAGATCGCTTACGAGAAATGCTTCTACGTGGTGTGCGCGATCTCTTACGGTCGGTACGAAGACTAACATAACGCGTGAGTGTGTGGCATAAGTCGGTTATATCATTCTGAGTTGTTTGAGGTTTTTCTTTGACTGAAAATACCTCGGTAGTAGGTTTCGTAATTTCTAGAATACGGTCGGCAGATGCAGCTAGCTCGTCTAAGGCGTTGCTCTGGAACGAGACCAGGACTGCTTGCACCTGTTGGGGAAGTTTTGACAAGAAGAGTTGTTTGAATAGACCTTCGTCGAAAGTTCTTGGGCCTATAACCTCTCTCATCCGTTGCAACATGTCTGTCGCATAACCGTGTTGCAGGTCGATGTTATTGAAGAGTTGATCTAACCTTTGTCGATCGGTTAGGTCTCCTCGTTTGAGAATCGAGCGTTTTAAGGTTTCGTAAGGTTCAGAAACATCACTAGTAAACATACTAGGTGTTACGTACCTGTTGAATTCCCGCAGTAGTGCCTTGACTACTGCGAGGAATTGTGCACGTGTCGATCACGCCGTGCTCAGAGAAGTCGGCTTCTGCGTAGCAGAACCAGACTTCGATGTTGTTGGGCCAGAAAGGCATGAGTTGAAACGAAGGTGGGGACAAGGTCTTAAGCTTGAGTACTTTAGGTGTCTGTTCAGTCATGATGAAATATGAAGTACGATAATGAACGAGGGGAAAATATATATATCCAAGAAAAAATACGAAAAAAAAATCACAATGTTCAGAAAAAAATAAAAAATATGGCAATGATATATAAAAATCCCAAAAAGGAACAGACTCACAGTTGCACTAAGGTGTACCAGATCACGACGGTCTCACCAATGAAGATGTCACAGGTATTCAGTGTTTGACAACGCTTTTACCAGCAATACCTTCTAATATAATTTGTACCCACCCAGAGAAATCAAAAGACAGAGTCGAGGAGATCGTAAGAGTGTATTTGGCGATTGCCAATATATCGGAATTCTCTGATCTAAACTGTCTAGCGATTGCGGTAGATGTTGAGCACAGCGTTACCACATGTGATCTGGTGCGGATGCCTGACCGAGCGCCTTCAGCTAGATGAGTCCACTAAAACATATGGTCAGCATCCAATGTCGAAAACTTACAGGGCTATTTATTTTGGGGATTTATTTACCGCTACAACGGCTCTACTGTATGGGGCAGAAACCTGGAAAACTACGAAAGCCATCATCCAGAAGATACAGGTGTTTATTAACAGCTGTCTACACAAAATGCTTCGGATCCGTTGGCCAGACACTATTAGCAACAACCTACTGTGGGAAAGAACAAACGAGATCCCAGTGGAGGAAGAAATCAGGGAGAAGCGCTGGAAGTGGATAGGACACACATTGAGGAAAGCATCCAACTACGTCACAATACAAGCCCTCATGTGGAATCCTCAAGATCAAAGGAAAAGAGGAAGACCAAAGAACATATTACGCCGGGAAATGGAGATAGGCGTGAGATGAATGAAGAAAAATTGGATAGAACAGGAAAGGAATGCCCAGGACAGAGTGGGTTGGAAAAGGCTGGTCGGCAGCCTATGGTCCACTGTGTGTCAGGCGAAAGTAAGTAAATAAGTAAGGAATCAAAGAAGCACTAACTTCAAAGCTTCAGGAGGTTCTGAACCGCAAGAAGCATCATCATAAGGAATGAACCATGTAGCGGTAGATAAATCCCCAAAATGAATAGCTCTGTAAGTCTTCGACATTGAATGCTGACCACATTAGTTTTAGTGGACTCACCTAGCTGAAGGTGCTCGGTCATGCATCCGCACCAGATCACGAGTGGGAACGCCGTCCTCAACAACCCCTGCAATCGCTAGCCAGTCTAGATTAGTCGACCGTCGATATATTGATAGCATATCAAATATATCTTCGGACCTCCTCGCTTCTGTCTTTTGATTTCATTTGATGGGTTCGATCCATATTAGTGTTACTGGTTAAAGCGTTGTCAAATACAAAATACTTGTGTCATCTTTGAAAGATTTCGTTAGATTCCAGAACAATAGGGGTTGTTGTAAGAGAATCTCCACGTTTGATATTTAACCACTGTTCTACTTAACTTGTTGAGTTTAGTGAGGCTTGTTTAGTTACGGTAAGATTTTATTAAGTTTGATACGATTTTGTAACGCAACAAATATGTATGAACTACTATTACCGTCAAAGTATTGATAATCATGTGAATTTTGGACAGGCGGTAATTGTTTAACCATAATTTCAAATTTAAGACACATGCTTTGGACTTAATACTCTGGTGCGCAGCAAATCGGTTATTGATATTCACACTTATCAGTTGTTGATGCAAACAGGTCAGTTGCAACTATCAAGTTTGACACAAAGTAGAAATAAACTTGTTTGGAAATGAATGATTTTAAGTCGTTGGATTCGGTAAAAACAATATTCAAAGAACTTAGGTGACAAGATTTTTCACTCTTTTTCTGCCAAATAATTCTCTACAAATTGAAGGACAGTGAGTACTGTCTTTATGAGTATCGGGGAGAGAATAAGTCGTAACCGAGAGAAGTACAGCTCCCAACTAATCTCTATCATGTCATGAACGTTTGTTAGTTCTGGGGTAAATTCGACTATGACATTTTCAGTTTGCATGAGCTTTGTTCGGTTGCTTGATCTGATGAATTACGCAAATAGTTGTATATCTCGGCTTACGATCAAACCGAAACGTTTCCAGGCTGTTTACTAAATAAGAAACTGTTGGAAAAACAACAAAATTATCTTTGTTAAGTAAAGATAACTACGGAAAAACGACGCTATTTAGTGATAGTCAACAGTCAATCTGTAAACCGAGTTTGTTAATCGTTCCATCAAATTTATTAGTCATATTATGTGATTATCAAGTCTCAACAACAATATATGTAGGTGTTAAAAATTACTGTGAATTTGCTTATATACTGTTGGTCAGTTGTTTGTGCATCGAAAACAGCCAATACTGCTTCAGATGTTTGAAACGACCTGCATCTTCGCGTTTGGTCACATTACAAGCACACTTAATCAACATTTTTTGATGGGTTACGTGGTTTAGTTGAGTTGTGACGAGAAAATGGTTAATCACTAATCGC